GTAAAGTTGAATTTCATCAAAGGAATAAGTTCAGATCAAAAATAAACCAAGCACATAATGATTTTCTCTTTTTTTTTTTTTTTTTGAATGAAATTAAGATTACGGAAGTTCAGTAATTTAAAAAAACAACATCAAATAAAATGAGAGCAAACTAAGTTTAAAACAAGTGGTTGACATATTGATAATGATAAAGCTTTAAATCTTCGAAAGATTAATTACGCTTGTCTTCATAAAACAATATAATATTTAAAAGACTAAATAAATAAAGCAGGAAAAAACAAAAGATGAATTGAATTAATTTACATACCTGGCCAAGAAAGATTACTACCACGTGGTCGTACACGCCAATCATAATCTTTTAACGTTCGTTGAATAATTTCTTGCTCTTTCAATTTTTTCTTTGCCATAACAAGAATTAAAATTGTAAAAATCCAACAAATCATACAACCATTCATAATTTGTAAAATTTTTTCCTAAAAAAAAAAAAAACAAAAAATAATAATAATAATTTGATGAAATATTCATTCATTCATATTTTTTCTTGTTTTCTTTTCTTCTTCCTCTTTTTTTTTGTTTTTTTGTTTTTTTCAATATTAGAAAAGAAAATGACAAATAGTAAAACAACAACCCATCAGAGAATAATTGATTTGCTTTTTACAAGTAGCATATTCTCTCGATCATCTCCTGCTACTCTTTCAATTTCTCCTTGCAAAATAAAATACTAAATGACTCACTTACACACAAGATGGTTAATTTGATTGCTAGTTGTGAAAAATTACCCTTCAAGATTAAAGTAGGCACTTGTTATTGTCAAAAGTTACTTTACTACACCCTAGAAAAATGTGTCATACTTTGATGTATAACAAACTCAATAAGTAATAAATAAAAAGGAAAAAAAAAAGAAAACTTATGATAGATTAATTTCTCAATACATTAATTTATTTATTTACATACTTGTAACAATCATTTATTTCTTACTATAAAATTACTAAAAATAAATATGATATGATAAGAGTAATGATAATGACATATCTCTGATATAGATTTATACAGAGAGTTGTGATCTTATGATATTACTTTGTGAACATTAAAGTTATTAAAGTTTTTTTTTTTTGTTTTTGGGTATACTTTAGTATGCTGATAATCTCCCGGCATTTTCTTCCTTCCTTTCTTTTAAAATTACTATTATTTATATTTTAATACAATATTTAAACTCATATATTTGATTCAATTAAATGTTTTAGTGATTTTTTCAACTTAATAGCAAATATATCATTCCTAAAATAAACATCTATTCGTGTAGTACGGTAATGATAGTAGTAAAGTGTAGTACGGTAACGGTAGTAGTGAAATGTAGTACGGTATGATAGTAGCAAAATGTAGTACGGTAATGGTAGTAGTAAAAGTAAAAAAAAAAAAATTTATTAGTTGGATAGAAGGAATAATCATGAAGATATCATTCTTGGCTTATTCAACAAACCACCTGTATGTGACAGCCTCTCTGCTACCCTTTTCTGCTTAAATTGTCAATGAAGCAGTCCTACTTTTTTTTTTTTTTTAATGATGGAAAGCTTCCGTTGCTTTCCAAAATGCAATATCTTTCTGCTTGCCAATAAGTAAGTGTCTCCATGCCTGTCACACTTAGCTATGTGCCACATTTCCTTTGCTACATAGCCAATAGCTCACCAATTAAGGCCAGAGTACCCCAAGCTCGGGAAATTGGTTGCTCAACTCAAAAAGTGTCATCTCTGTATCTTCCTTCTTTTTCTTCTTCTTATCACTTTTCCATATACAATTTGAAATAAATCCATTTAGCAAAGTTGACAATTTTACATTTTATTTTACAATCAAATTGCTACCTAAAATCCAATTCTTAATTTTAAGCCTAATTTTAGGTATAAAGAAAAAAGTCTAAATGTGTACGCATATACATATATCTTAAAAATAAAGTGCAAATTTGGCTGTCGTAGTTAAAATGCAAAATTTTTATTTGCTGCATAATAGTTATTTAGATGTCTATATTCATCATCTTAAGTGGACACCTGCAAGAGATGACCTGTCAATATTTTTTTCTCAAAAATAAAAAAAAAAAAAGAAGCAAAGTTAGCTCAAACTAAAAATGTTAGAATGAGTGAACAAAATGGAAAATTTAATGATCTGACTGAAGCATAATTGAAGCGCAGTGTACCTTTCGATGACATCATGAAGACACAACGTATTAACACAATTACTGAAAATGTCAGAAGGAAGACTTTTCCATATTTCAAAATAAGAATATATTTCTTTTTTTTTTTTTTTTAAATTTCTAAATAATATTTGAGGAAAAAAAAATATTCAAATCATTGCTTAATGACATATATATGTATTATATATATAATTTTTTCACATTTTTTATCGAAAAAAATTTTTTTTTAATTAAAAATTCTCCTTCATTTGTACATTAAAGCTTACGCTAATTGTCATCTTTACTTAATTAGCTTTTTCCTTTCTACGAAAGAATTGATGGATAAAGCGAAACATACAAGGATTTACCTAAATAATCAACATTCCTAGAATAATTTGTATAAATTAAAAATTTCAATAAAAAATTTTTTTCAAACATTTATCATTGATATTATTAAGAAAAAATTAAATTTTGCATTTCAAATTTCAACCATTTTAAAAATTTTCAACTTCTTTTTTCATTTCTAGCTATTTCAGTGACAAATTATGAATCTAATCAATGTATACTAAAAAAAAAAAAAAAAAAAACGCAAAAAGAAAAGTTTAAACTGATCTGAATCTGAAGAAAATTGATGAAATGAAATTTGAGGATGATTTGATTTAAAAAAAAAAAAAATGACACAAGTCTAATATAAATAGAATAAAATTTGATTTCATAAAAAAAAAAAAAAAGATTAGGAAGAAAAAAAAATATTTTAATCATCGTTTTCTTAATCAACCGTAAGTAAACTGATTGATCTCGAAAAGCTGTAAATATCTGTGAAGTGTCAATTATGCAAACTGCGCTTCACAACAACACTTCCTTCATCTCATATAGTGCAATTTTCTTTTTTCTTTTTTTTTTTTTTTTCACTTCAATATTTTTGAGTGAATTGAATTCATCATTTTGATCTTTCAAAGATTTTTTCTTCTTTTCAAATTGTCGGTCAAATTATTACCTTAGCATCATTACATCACACCTATTCAATTATTATTATTTCTTTTCAATGCTTAAAATTAAGTAGCATTGAAAGCTCACTAGTGTAAAAAGTTCTTTTTTTTTTTTTTTCTACTTTTTTAAAATAATGCAAAAATATGTGTGCATTATAAAATTTATCTCAATTCATGCTTACATTATAATATTTTTAATTGTCAATTTTAATTTATTAACATATATTGATTGGTTTGTATCTAAGTAAAATTATATCTAAGTAAAATTAGGAAGTAATAATAGCAAAGAATAGCTTCCATTAAGTTATAGCAAAATTTTTCCTTTTTTTTTTTTTTTTTTTTTTCAATGCTTTCTAAGCAATTTTCGTGTTTTTTCATTGCTATTAAGTAAATAAATTCAAAAGATTGACAATAACTAAAATAGCTAAAGCAATTTTTGCTAACTCATTTTTTTTTTCTCTTTTTTTTTGTCCTCTTTTTAAATTTTAGTAACAAAAAGAAAATGGAAATTGAACAAAGTAAAAAAAAAAAAAAAGAAAAAACACACACACAATTCAATGAATGATTACAAAAAACGTTTTTTACTATTTTTGAACTTTAATTTTGATTTCTGAAAACATAATGAATGATAAATTTAATGTTCCAATGGCTCTTTCTTTTTTTTTATAAATGCTAAGTAAATTAGGCTTTATGGGAAAATTATTTTGTATATGCAATAATTTTTTGAATCAAAAAAGAAAAAAGAAATTTTTTTTTTTTTTAGAGAAACGAAATTGAAATTTTTCGTTTTCTCACTTTCTTTCTTAACTTCCAGCATTTTTTCTTTTTTTTTTTCAAAATATAATAAAATTAACACACCATTTGTTAAACTTTAAAATTTAGACTCATCACTACTAACTAGTAAGTATATTTTCAGTTTTCAAAAATTCAAAATTTTTGAAATTAACAGGAATATAGAAAAAAAAAAGCATAGAAAAAAAAAAATGCCTTCCAGCTTAAGGAACAGCTGCTCTGCCCAATCTTTTACTTTTTCATTTTATTTAACAAGCAACTAGGCTTATGTTTATTTAAAAACGAAAAATTTTGGCTTCAATGATTAGATTGATAAAATAAAATAATAAAATAATAAAAATCATGAAACAACCTGAAAAAAAAACTTTGAAATAAGATTTTATTAGAGAGAGAGGAAGAGAGAAAAAAAAAGGAAGAAAAAAATTTCTAAAAATTATTTTAAAGTTTGCAATTTATAAAAACAAAATTATAAACAATGAAATTACCTTATTTAGGTATTATTTTACTACAGTTAATGGAAATTAATTTAGACAGAAAACTTTTAAAATGTAATTAAAATGACACATTTAATTTCATATTAAAAATTTTAGCTGCTTAAAAGATAAATGAAAGAATATATTTCAATTTCTGGTTTATCGAAGATAGATGAAATCAGGGAGAATTTAAAGTTCTAATAAAGTTTCTTAACTTTAACAAAATGGAATGAAATAGTCCTGAAAAAATTTTCACCTCAATCAGTAATATTTTAAAAGAAATATATTAGAAATGTCAACGATGAGATAAATTTATCTCTCTGTATGGCAAAATTGAAATTAATAAAATAATACTAATGTGACAAGCATCCAGTAGGGCGGAAAGCATTTACATGTCATCATTTTCAGAATATAGCTTAATAAATTTTTAAAATATTAATAATTTTAAGCCATTAGAATAATACCACTGTATACGTTTATAACATTTCACGTGTTTCACGTGCAAAAACGTAAACAACACTGAATTATTTTCATTTTGCCGAATTCTTTAACAATAAAATTTTATTTATTATAAGAAAAAAATTAACAAACATTGATAACATTACATGCGACATTTGAATTAATTTTATTAGCCAAATACAATTGTGATTTATTAATTAGACGATAGCATATTGCTTCACAATTAGCTATTTCTGTGCCATTTTCAAATAATTCAGCACAAAAACCATTTACATACTGAAAGATATGGAATAATTAAAAGATTGCATTTATAAATAAATTAATTGCATTTATAAATAGAACAAACATTAGCATTAAATAATTGATTAATTAAATTAACTCCATAATTTTGAGAATAATTAATGCTTCTATTTTGTATTAGCGTTTTGTATTAAGTATTCCAGTTTTGTATTTATTATACTAAAAAAGAAAAATCATATAAAACTTTTTATTAATTGCAATTGTAAGTAGAACAAACATTATAAGCTTTGTAAATAACGGTTGTTAATTCTTGATTTAATTGTTCTATGAATGCTTTACAGGATTCACAGAATAAATTTTTTGCATTGAAACTGATTGTCGGATTGATTGGAAGTAGAAATACAGTGATTATAATAAGAAGGAGTGTATTTGACATTATACTGCAAAATTGATGAATATATTAAAATTTCAAAATTAAAATTAAATTTCAATATGAAGTATTTTTTATTCAGACATTTTAATGATGACTACAAGGAATTATAGTTCCAGTAATTGGAATATTTCTCTTGGAAGAAGAATTTAAGTAATAAAATATAAACAATCCAATTCATATTGTGTAAGGATCAAAAAAAGAAAAAAAAAACCTATATAAGAACCCTTAATAAATTCAGAATTTCAAAATTAAAAAATCAAAACAAAAATTCAAAATAACTACAATTAAGTAAGAAGTATTCATTATGTTGATATGATAGTAGCATTGTTTATCTGTTAACAATGTTATCATTGATATTACTGATAAGAAATGGAGAAAATTCCGAAATTGTTATTAAAGCATTTTGATAAAACAACTAATTATTGTAACAGATGAAACTTCTATGCAACTATTTGTAGATGGTTTAATCAAAAAATTTCATTAAAAATTTTTCATTTTTCGAAAGCTAAAAGATAAGCAAAGATTTGTAACAGATTTTCTACCTAAACAGATAATACTAAGTTTTTAGAATAGATTATACTATCTCATTATTTTACCAATTATTGTGTTGTTCGTTGATTGTTAACATTAAATTTTATATCGCAGTATTAAAGTTCAAATTGTTTCTCAAATATTCTCTCCTAAAATGCAATTCAGGAAGTTATATTAGAAGGGAGAGAAAAAAAGATTCAAACATAGTTTACAATTTAATCTTTTATAGTTGCATAACTTTAATTTGCAATAATGGTTTTTAGAGAAATAACATTTTATTAATTACTTCATAAAATCAACAAAGATAAAACTTTCGACATATCATTTCTGAAGCATCTTCAAGCACAACAAAATCTCGTATTTTTTCAACCACTTTATCTACTTTCGCTTTACATGTCATAGTAGCAGTTGAATTATAAGCAAAATGGTCATCGCAGAAATCATCCATTTCCTAAATAAAAAAAAAATGATAATGATAAGAAATCTCGAAGTGATATTGTTGCATTTGATAAATTTATTCTCAATAACAATCAATGCAATTTAATGTAATTAAATTCAAATTTTAAAAATGATTGTGCAAGTCTAAAAAAGCACTATGAAAAAGAACTAACCTGAGTGACCCAATCAAAAGCTTGTTCAATTACATTATTTATTCCATTGATAAACATTTGACATGATTCACAAAGGCTTTCTTCCTGATTTTCAAGAGTAATCAGTTCTGATAATTTCAATTCCTTCGTTTGACATGTCATCACAGCAACTACAAGTACCAGTGCAATTGAAATAGATTTCATTTTTTAGACTGTAAATTTAATTGTTAATTTCAGATTGCAAATTTAATTATTAATACATATTTTACAACTGATAAATGATGATCAGTTCTTATTTAAAAATTGTTAAAGTCCCCAGAAAATTTCCCTTAATGTTGTAGTCAAATTAATTCCAATTGGTACCATTAAATATTCCAACAATATACTCTTTCATCATACTTACAATAAAAAACGACATGTATTAGGAGAGATAAAGATTATTTTCTTGAGAGTTCAATGAATGATCAGTTTCATATCAACTATTGTCTTGAAAATAAACACAGCTTATTCTACTTAAAAATACCAGAAAATTCAACTTTAACCAGCTTATACTACCTTAAAATACCAGAAAATTCAACTTAACCAATTAGAAAAATTAGAATTATATTGAAAAAATCATACCTTTTATGTTGTTGGCAAGAAAACTGTTCTTCGGTCATACATCATTCATATCGTTATCATTCTCGAGTAAATGCTATCCACCAAAAACAAATAAAAAAATGGGCAAATTGAATACTTTTCTATTCTCAAGCGTAGATCAAACGTTCATATCAATACATATTAATATTAAAATAAGCAAAAATTTTTTGGAAAACATCTAAAAGTTCCAGGACAAAAAAAAAAAAAAAAAAAAACGAAACAAACTGATAAGGTTTTCCGGATGTAATCAACCGTCGAACTGATTCATTCATTTTTTTTTTCTCGTAAAAATAAGATAAATAATTATTCCACCATCTTCGAACTTTGTATTTTGTTTCATCAATCAACAAGAAATACTTCTTTTCTGCAAAATATACAAACGTACAAAATATACGATATAACGTGAAGCTCACGCAAATTACACGTCAAATTTGATGCTTAAAAGAGAAAAAGTAACAACTTGCTGAGAGATAAATGTATAAAAATAGTTTAATAATTGTTTATTCATCTCAGAAACAATGTCTTTAAGTGGATGTGAAAGAAGAGTCATGCAACGCAGTTCACGTGATTCACGTTCATTTTCATTCATCAAATAACAGACTACGTGGGAAAAAGTGCTTCGATGACATCACCGTAACTATTCTTTTCGTGTTATAAAAAGCAATAATTGTTCAAATGTCAGATAAACGAGGGAGAAAGGAAAATTCTTCCAATAGATTTTTCAAAATTTCTAAAAACGATCAGTAAAGATTAATTTTAATGATTTTTTGTGAAAAAAAAAAAAAATCAATGCAAGTGTAATTTAGATAAAAAATTGTCAAATTTTCGAAATGAATGAGAATTTATTCTCTTTCTCACTTTTTCATTATCTTCTCTCTCTCTCTCTCTCTCTCCCTCTCTCTCTCTGTTAAAAGATCTTCGAAATATATTCCCATAGAGAATATCTCTAGTATATTGATAAAATTATTAGTTATAAGGATTAGATAATTATAATTTATTAAGAAACAATTGATTAATCAAAAGTTAGATATTTTAGAAGAGAATAATTTAGTACTACTACATATTATATATCTTCTATTTGTTGTTTGATATAAAGTTTTTGTTTTTTAAACTATAAAAAATGATTTTCAGTTTTTACCTTTCAAAATACAATGTTTGAAATATCGTTGTTTGGAAAATTATTGTCAACGTTCAGTCATTCTTATCATTTGAATAATACAGTGGATCGTTTGCACTGGAATATTACAACAATTGTTTTAATTCTATGCGTTTTGTTTATTGGTGCGGAACAACAATTTGGACAACCAATACAATGTATGCTTCCAACACATCTCGATCGTATGTTTCTGAAATTTTTGTTTATTTATGTTTATCATTCCGGATGGAATGATACCAATATTGTTTAAGTCTATTATTCCGGATGAAATGCCAGTATTCTGTTTAAGTATATCATTCCGGATGGAATGCCAATATTCTGTTTAAGTGTATTATTTCGGATGAAATGCCAGTATTCTGTTTAAGTGTCTAAGCTTATTAATTATCATCCTATTTCATTGTTTAGTCATTTTATATTGACTAGTTAAACATTTATTGAAGATATATTATTACCAAAATTAATTTACTGTTCGTTATAGAAAATTCTTGGACCGATTATGGACAATATTATTGTTTCACTCAAAATACTTATCGTTTGACAGATAATCAAACATTACCGAGTGCAAGTAATCGAGCAAAACTTCATTTAAATGTAAATTATTATCAGGTTGGTTGCTTATATATATATATAATAGTGCACATACAATGTTCCAGTAAAATATCTCTCTCTCTAAAAGTAATTGAAAACAGCAATAGGCATAGTTTTGACTTATCAAAATTCACTTCTCAATATTTTTACAGTTTGAAAAATCTATAGCTACTAGCTAGCTTTAGCTAAGCTATCGATAAAAAAGAAAAATTGTAATCTTTGTAGATTAAGAAATAAAAGATTTTGAATGAAAAATTGTAAAAAACATCAAAAGAACTTTTTCAGTGGGTACCATTTTTTCTCACAATTCAAGCATTGTGCTTCTACATACCTGGTTGGCTATGGATGATGTTACAACGTGGATGCAGTAAGATCTTTTTTGTTTATTATTTATTTGAAAATTGTCGTAATATTATTCATCACTTATTTCTTGACTTTAGAAATTTACACTTCCTTTTTCAGTTTTTGACATGGAAGCTGTGGTTCGTGAAGCTATATGCTTAAGAACAATGTTCAAATTTGAAGGTCGAATAACGAGGCTAACAAATTTAGTCAAATATATTGCTTCTGGTCTGAAAATGAAGATGAAAATGGATAGGGGTAGAACAGTCGGTTTTTTTCTCTTTTTGTCAGTTTAAATAGCAAATTAATTCATAATTATCTATTACATTGTTTATTTAGTCTCTTATTTTGCCTATTCTAAAAATAATCTTTAATTCAATGTTTATTCATTAAAGTGCATCCTGGACCATTTTAAGGAATGTCAAATGTCGAGATCCGCAAGTAAATTTTCAACTTTGCAAGCGGTTAGTTTTGTAAAAATTTCAAACTTCGTTTTTGATAGTCATCTTAAGAAAATTGAAACTGTATGAATTATGGACTGATTAATTGATTGGATATTTCAATGTTTCTTTTTTTTTTTTCTTTTTCTAGAAATGGTGCAAGCATCCATTGGACAAAAAGAATGGCATATCAACTGCACTTTATCTTTTTTCGAAACTCTTAAATGTCATAAATAACATAATACAGCTCTACATCATTGGACGATTTATTGGTTTTAATAATTTTCCTTTGACTCTCACTGTAAGTTAGTCCAAAATCAAATTTTTTTTGGAATTTAAATTTTATCAGAGAGATTGCTAAGCTCATTTGAATCATGCATAAGGTATAATTAGAAATCCTCGTGTCTAACTGGTATCGATTTATGATTTATGCATAAATATTTTTGTTCTATCAGAGGTTCGCAGTTATAGAAGCTGGTTTTTAATTGTAAAATTCTCATATTATTTAATTTTTCTTTTTTTCTTTTTATATAAGCTTTTTATTTATTAAATCGCAGTTTCAATGCATTCATCGATTTTTTGTGTCTATTCTTTAAAGAATTTTTAATTATAAATTTTCACTTTTGTAGCACTTTTGCTCTGTCATTATCGAAATGTTGTGGAGAGTTTTGTATAGAAGTTTGTCACTGATTAAGAAATGTGGAACTTAAAAAGGAAAGAAATGAATAAGTAAATGAGTAATCTTCTTTTTACTCTGAATAATTTTGCAAGATGTATTATACTTTTGCAATATTATATTTTCAGAAAATGCAATTTACGTCATCATACTTTCCACTCATAACATTCTGCGATATGGAACGACAAACTTTAGGAAAAGTAGAGATAAATACATTCCAATGTGTTTTAATGCTTAATTTCATCAATGAAAAAATCTTCTTTATGCTCTGGTACTGGATATGTTTGGTAAGAATTCTATTAGGCATTTAAATTAAATTTTAAATTTCTTGTAAAGAACGACTTTTTGGGTTTTCAGCGTAGTATACTTTTGCTTCCTAATATTCGATGAAGACATTCGCTGGGAAATAGAATAAAGTATATTTGAGACACATAAAGTATATTTGAGAACAACGTCTTATCTGTATTGATGACTGTATTTAAGTGAAAGATTTCAAGTTTATTTCAGCTATTTGTCTTATCATTAACAGATTTTATAATCACATTGGTGCAATGTTTGCGGCCACAATGTCGTGAAGCTTTGATAAAATTCTATCTGCAAGTGAGTACAATCTTTTAATTTATCAGTCAACTTTTGTTACTTTTACTTTTTTTATATTTTATTATATTATTATGCTATTTTGATACAACAGTTTTTAACCTACTATGAAGAGCGGCCAGGTAATTTTTGAATTCTTTCAAGGGAATAAAAGTTTTCTGAACAAGAAGTTAAATCTATTTCGTTTTATAGGAAGGTGAATTCGATGACAACTACTTTTTGTTGTTGAAAGACAAAAGATATCTGCATATTTATATTATGGAGGTAGGTGTATTATTTTACTTACAAGTTTTCTAACAAATAGAAGGTTAAAATTTTCCGAATCCAAAAGTATTTAAACTGCTTTTTTGAAATTGGATTATTTTAGTAAGTTACTTAAAAATTGAATGTCTAATATGAATATTTAAAAATTTTCAAGTTTCTTGGCTTGGATGGAGTATTATTATTGCGTTTCATTAACAATCATGCAGGTATTAAAGTTACACGAGATATCACAGTCGGTTTATGGCACTGTTTTCGTGGTTTTTATCAGGTAATTTTTTATCATTCGTTCATTTTATGAATTTTTACAACTTTGCTGATTCCGATCATATTAATATACTCGTATAGTTTGTAATTCTAATTTTCTGTGAGAAATAGTGTCACAGATAATGGAAAAACGGCGAGAAAAAATTCTCATCATTTAATAAACAGAATTTGATAAAGTTCTGATAATTTTCGCTATTATATTTTCAGGATTCCAAGAATTTCCACATATCTGAAATTTCCACGAATTTTCACCCACCTCAAGAGATCTGACATTGCTATATTCATCACCAATATCTCCTACAGCGTTTCTTATCAGAATGGATTGATTCATAATTGAAAAATATTTTTTCTATAATTAAAAATTGGTGATAAGAATTATCCTAATTTCTGTATTTCCTTGATTTTATAGTATGCAAATTTAAATTTTAACGGTTTATATTACAAAAATATATTATAAATTTGGATATCTTTGGATATTCGCTTGTGTCCTTAACTGTATTTAATTGTATTGTATTCCGTTTAAACTTTTCTTGATATCTCACCCTCAATTTTCTAATCTTCATTTCGTGCAAATCTATATTTCAACTTTGGTTGTCTTTTTTTACTTGAGCAAATCCATGGGAGGTTCAACTCATAGTTAAGAATTATAACGTAAAAGATTGAAAGTTCAACCTTTTTTTCATATTTATAAAATTTCTAAAGAAGCATTTTGTTCATTTTAGGTTTTGGAAGAGAGTTAGCTTAATTAGCTGTTTATGAAAGAATATAATAAATCGTTTAATGTTTGGCATTTATAAAATTCGCATTATTTGTAAATAAAATTCATGTGCACGTGTACAATTTTTTTTTTGTAATATTAAGCCTCAAAAGTCCTTTGTAATATTTGCTTTTTATTTGATATGATTTTTTCAATTCATTCTATAGATTGCAGTTGAATACTCATACTTTCAACTTCATTCTATCATTACCTCATTACACTTATCATTAAGAGAAGAAAAAGAAAATTACTTTATCGTTCAGAAAAGAAAAAGCAGAAAACAGAACAGAAATATTAAAAAATTTCAAATAAAACAAAAATATTGAAAATACTTCAAGATTCAATGGTATCAATCTATAGGCAATAATTTTGGATAAAATCTATGTAGGAACTTTTTCATAGTTTTTACAGCCTTTTAATACATTAATATGTGTATCACATAAGACATTTTGCAGAAAGTACTTTACTAATTTGGTCTTTCGAAAACGAGAACAAAAAAGATTTGAAAGAGTTGAAAAAAAAAAAAAAAAAACATTCAGAAAAAGTGAGATTCAAGAAAATCAACAAACTGATATAAACAGTGATACTATATTGCAGAAGAGATGAAATTACTTATCAATTTAGCAATGACCATATCAAGAAATCATAGCGAAATAAATTGGGAAGTTAAGTAATGATAAGGGTTTCTGATTAATTGAATTTAATTAAATCAACTGTTATCACTTGTTAACAGATGATCGGTAAAGAATATGTTATCATTATTCAATTGCAGATAATTTGTACGATATTAAATCAACTCTACTCACTTACTAATGGATGTTGAGTCGAGAATATACAAATCATTCACTAGAATGATTTGTCAAGGTAAGATGAATTCAAGTTGTAATGCACGAGACCAGTTCTGCATATATTTCAACTTATCTAGAAAACATTCAATGAATATCCTGGTTTCACCAAATTCTGTGGCGACAGGTAGGATTTCAGGTAGGATTTCAAATTCTGTGGCGACGAAATTGCAAATGAAAAGGTGCACTAGAAGTCGTAGACTCAGTCCTTCATACAGGTGGTGCAGAATTTTGCTTACTCGAAGTTGACCTCAGAGATGACATTTTCTTATGCAGAAGAGTTTTCTTCCATAGTTCAAAGAAAAAACATTTGCAAATCTTTTATTAGTTGAATAAAATATGGTGGTCAGACATAATAACCTCCTACTTCATATTTTTTAGATATGAAATAAAGCTTTTGGTAGGTATAATTAGGTTTTTGTGCCATCAAAGAAGTGTTACAATTTTTGTCACTTGTTATTATTATTTTACTCGGTGACATCCTGGATGATGCAAGCAGTCTTTTTCGAGAACAGTACAGTTTGCTCCACACGAGACTTAACCAAAGTTCATCTTTACATCCTACCCGTTTTATTAACCGCAGCCAACGGGTATCTTCTGCCACGGTTAAATCAAAACAAAGGCATATATGCCCGAAAGTATATTCAGGTTTGAAATATTACAATTATGCTTGGTGATACGAATAAAGACTTCCTAGGACTCATTTTGCTCTAACTGTTCGCGAAGTATTACAAATCAGTGAAATTCGTTTGTATAAAGAGACAGGTAGTTGCTATATACTCTCTTGCCAGGTAAATTGAAAATCGAAGTGCTTACTTGAGAATAAGCATTATCGAGAACTGAATTAGTCTAATCTTGTTAACTTGTCAACAAGTCACTCCAATTTAATTATCATCGTACCCATTCCATTGTAGAATTCAAATTTCCAAACTGATTTCTCATATCGAAGAGTTTCTGCAGACTAAAATCATAATCCTTGGTGACTTCAATGACAGAATAGGGAAAAACCGTAAAACCTGGAATGAAATAATAGGCAAATATAAGCTTGAAAAGTATAACACTTCGTATTAGAGTTCAGCGCAGAACAGCATACCACGATTACCTTTTACAGGAAGGTAGTCTAATTTTCCGGAAAAGAATTTGCGATATCTGTCAGATCGAAGTGATGCCAAGTGTAAAATGTCAAACAGATCAAACTGAACTTTCATTTCCAGGTCAAACGCAGACATTTCAAGAAAGAATGAAGTACTTTCAAGATCACAAATCTCGAAATTGCTATAATTTCCAGTAAACGAGACTTGTGACCTCTGCAACAAACTTTAACAATATAAATAGCATCCTGCAATGTCCAAGATACTCTCAAAGAAACTCGAGAATTGATCTGATTAAAATAGCTCACAAACTCACTCAAGACCTGTTAGCCAAGCAGAGACATCAAATATACCTCTCTCACCTTTGTCTTGCATACAATAAGGAAGTTCGGGTCATCAAGAACAAAGACTTCAGCTATGCATGGATTCCGGTATTGGCAGAGCCTGAAAAGAATGTTTGGACCGGTACAGACCGGATGACCGACCTATATCTTCCCTTCTCACAGATAAAACCTTAATTCTCAATCGAGGATGTGAACATTTTCAATCCTTCTTCAGTATGCACTCGAAGAGACTTTCAAGATCACAGAAAGATGCAATCTGGCAAAGTACCTTCCTGCATTCATAAAATCTCACCGGAAATCTGGAAAGATTGAAGATCGATCGCTTTGTCATAAATTTCAATTTTATTGCGATTTGCTGGGAACAAAGAAAATTCTGAAATGTTCGAGGTGCAATCATCGTCATTCTTTCGAATAAAAAGAAAAGAGAAAAGTCCGACTTCTCAAACTCATCAGCCATTATTTATCTGTGATTTAATAAGGAATTTTCCTCTTATTCAAAATTTTTATAAATTTTTTTCATAAAAGTGATTGTCATTATTTGTTCATTGCTTATAAATGAAAAATTTGAGTGAAATTCAAAAGATTTATGGATTTGAAAATTCTTCTTATTATTTAGTAAATATCTCTTCGAGTCTTTCTGTCAAAAAATTGAAATAAATTTTTGATATATCGAAATAATTTTGTATTTAAATCTATAAAAAGACAGAAATTCATAGATTAAAGATTGTTCTTATTTGAATATTCTTTAAACAATGTAAAATAATTTTTGAAAATTTCATTTCAAACTAACAAATCATTTATCCAACATTCATCTCAAAAGCATTTATTTACTGCTTTTCACTTGCAATCAATCATTGAAATATCGTTGAATTCTTTCAAATTCACAGTTTGACACAGTGCCAATCTGTCAAAGAGCAAAGATCACTCGAATTTGTGTCCTTTGTCATAAGCCAATGTGCACTATATAAAAGCTAAAAGCACTAATACTGTAAGCTAAGCTTCGATTCAATTCATCGCAGCACGCACGCACGCATGCACGCATGCATGCACTCACCCAATTCACTTGCAACAAACGATGGTGCAGCAAAGGTACGACAGTTCAACGAGCATTTAAATGGACTATTGGCATAATTTAATATTTAATTTATACATTTCTTTCTTATTACTTACTGTATAAGAGCAATAAGGGGAACCATAAAGTTATTATTGACGTTGTAAATTTACGATAACAATAAGAATTACCTATCAAATAAAGCATTCTTCAACAGATCAATTATTCAGCTCCGCTCTTCACTGTACTGATAACCTAATTAACACGAAAGATCATCCACTATCCACCAGTTTGATTTAATTTAAATTTGAAATTTCTACAGATCATAACTATCTCTCTCTTCTCCTTCAATAAACTTTATTTGTTAAATAAAAGCGAAATTTCTTCTAAAATTAATTAGAAAACGATGCATAGATCAAATCATTAAAATTTGCTAATTTCTTACAAACTCGGATCATTGGCAGTAAATTTGCATTATCTTCTAAATTAATTATTTATAAATTTTTTTTTTCTTCAAAAAAAAAAAAAAATATGAAGTACAACAAGATGAACAAAATAATAATATAAACAAATATTATTTATATTCCTTTTTCACATTCAACATTGAATAAACATAAAAAAAAAAAAAAAAACGAAGTGTCCTAAACAAGAAAGATAATTTAAAAGAAAGAAAGAAAGAAAGCAAACCGGAAGCTAATATATATATATATATATATATATTTTACGATATATAATTATAATAAACAGTAATTAAACCAAAGAAAAAAAAAACATATTTCTTTCACAATGGCACCTTGAGCAATTTCCTGTAATTTAAACTTCTTTCAATAATCAAAGACCACAAATAACGACAAAGAAGATAAAAAAGAAAAAAGAAACGATGCATAATATATAAAAAGTATAATTTAAAAGCATAATGAAAATTTTAATTACATATTAAAATTTTATGAAATGTAATGCCAAACGCATGCGCTGCTATAAAAAAAAAAAAAAAAAAAAACAAATTATCACAATATGAAATTATTCATTTATAAGATAACTGGCAAATAATTGCATGATTGAAAATGTTCTTTTTTTTTTTTCGAGAATTTCTCGAGATCATAATCATACAACTCTACATGTCAAAAAATGAAACAAAATGGCAGCACATCAAATGGGATTACATAACTTCAATTAAAAAAAAAAAAAAAAGACATACTAATTTTGCGTATAATTTAAAAATAGTTTTTTAGAGACTTAAAAATTTTGCAATATTTGTAAAACATATATGCTAGATATTTAAGAAACATTAAAATTAGAGATATAAGCCAATTTTCATTATTGAAATTTCATACTCGTTTTGAATTTGATTAATCAGAATTTCTCAAATTTAATTAAAATTGAAATGTTAATGCTTTTTTTTTTTTTGCAAAATTTTTAAGTATTAATAGATAATCATTGAAGAAAGAATGTATTATTGTTCAATTAAAATAATCCATTTGCTAAAAATATGAAATAAACAATAAAGAGAAGAGATTCCGGAAAGAACCGGATTTTAACTGACAGATCGATCGTTTTGTTTACTATATAATTTATAACGAATTATTATTAAATTAAATTTAAATTAAACTAGAAACAATGGATGAATGAATGAGTTCAATTCTTAAAAATTTAATGCATATAGCATTAGATTGTATTACTGATTGGCATTATTTCATCAAGAAAACAGAAAACAATCGCTTATTTTGAATAATTTCAAAAAGTTAATTAATTTTATAAGGAAAATTTGAATTTAGTCAAACATAAAATTTTAATTTATATTCATAAAATCAAACATTTTTCTTCCTTTTTTTTTTTTCTTTTTTAATGGAATGAATTTATCAGTTATATATATTTCAATAAATATAGTGATTGCTTGATGATTTCCTAAATGTTTTATAAAAAATAAAAAGTGAAGTTTAAATTTAACATACGAAAAAAAAAAAAAAAATGAAACTAAGAAAGAAAACAACTGAACCCGTATTATGAGGTGTCACTTCAAAAAATTATTACAAAATGCAAGTACTAGAAGAATTTTGCACAATATTTTAAATATTATTGTCAATTTGCCAATACAAGTTTACAAAATCTATTTCAATATCAATTTTACCTTTCCTTAGAATAGACAAATTAAATTGATTATCACAAATTAAAAGAACCCTTAAAAATCAAAATGCAACTTGATTTGTAATAAAATAATAAATTATTATAAACCAGAAGTATTAATTAATCAATTATTTGAAAATTTTAATACCATCAAATCATATGTCAATTACCTTCTGCTAAGAAACAATCTGATTTTGAGAATATCGAATTTCATTTTACATTTTAGTAAATTACTAGAATATCACTTTCATCAATAACGAAGGGAGTAAAAACCCGAATGAGTCAAATATGTAAAATTTATTTTAAAAATTTCAAAAATTGGAAGGAAAAAAAAAATACTGAATCAGTTGGTAATATGGAATCGTATAAATGTTAAATATTAATATTTGAAAGTGACTGATTTGTAAAGAAGAAGAATAAAAATAATGGCATCCTTCAAGAAAAATAGCAAAAAAAAAAAAAAAAAAAAAGGATTATTCAAATTCCGGTCCAAAATCAGGAATACGAATGTCATTGTAACCTTTTAACCAGTAGGTTATTTGTTTTCCTTTACCTTTCATTTCTATCTCACCACGAAGTACCAATTGAAATCCTGGATCTTCTTTGTTCAGGATAGTCTTTGTATGACTACTCACATGAATACGAAGTGCTAAAAAAAAAATTTTGTTTTTGTTTTTTTTTTTTTTTTTACCTCTTGTTCAACAAAAAAATAAATAAATATGAAAATGTTGATTTAGAAATTAGAAAAGAATAAAAGCTTTTCTTAAATATATATATTTTATTTTAAATAATGAAAAAAAAAAAATGCAGTTTACGACAATTTTTGAATTAAAATCTCGAAGTCAATAAAAAAATAAAATATAAAATTAATAAAACAAGAAAAGAGAAAAAAAAAAAAAAAACTTACGCAAACCAGTACTTTCCATTCGACTACTCGTATTTACTGTATCACCAAATAAACAATATCGTGGCATTTTACATCCTACCACTCCAGCAACCACTGGTCCTTGAAAATAAAATATATATTCAAGTATAATTGTCTAATGTAAGTCAAAAATTGTCCAAATTTTTATTTGGAAGTTTTGAGTTTTTGAAATCTAAACTAGAATCCATATGAAGGTAGTTCCAGTTGCTCAGTAAAGCATCTTCTGATGAATAAAACTGTGTAAAAATTTTTTGTAAGTGATCTAGGAATTAAATTAAGGCTAAATATTGATATACTGATCAGTTCGATAATCTTAAGTGAATAATTTAATTAAATCATTTAGCTGATCAGTGTGCTTTCTTGAATTATCTATCTAACATACTTTTGTCTTAAAACTTCAGCACTGTGTCAAGCTACTATTGTATGAGTAATTTAACAATTTCTAAAAAAAATATAAAAAAATTTTTGAAACAAACCAGAATGAATTCCAATTCGTAGTTTCAATTGTTCATTTGGTCGATGCCTAATGACAAAATTTTTCACTTTATGCAACAAAGCCAATGACATCTGAGCAATCTGTGAAGCATGATGATTATGACGTTCAGGTAGACCAGATACAACCATATATGCATCTCCAATTGTTTCTACCTTGTATACTTTGAAATTATCCACAACACCATCGAATGCCATGTATAAATCGTTCAATAGAGTTACTACCTGTAATCAATTTAACAATAAATATTTGGAAATAGCAATATTTCTTTTTTTTTTCTATATATAGGAATTTATGTTTCATTAATTCTAATTAACATTACTAGAAATTTCTAAAATTAATAAAAGAAAAAGAAAAATCAAGCATTTTGGCTTATTTTTAGACATTTCTATGTCAGATGATAAATGTCAAATAATATCATTTCAATAATGACAAAATAAAACTATTTCCTAGCTTGCTTAGAACATCTATATCATATATTTTTAATTTAATTTCGATTTTTCATTTCTTACTTACAACTTCTATACCATATATTTTTTAGTTTAGTTTAATTTTGACATAACTCAATCACTATTATTAATACAGCAATCATGAAATATTATATATGCAAACATTTAAATCAATCAAATTAACAAATTTCGATTCATAATTTTTTGTAAAAAAAAAAAAGTTGTTATTACCTGCATTGGTGTTGACATTGATGACAGTGCTGTAAAGCCAACAATATCGGAAAAATAAATTGTAACACTTTCAAATGCTTCTGCTTGCACAGCACATCCACTTATTAACTGCAATTTTAGTTAAGAAAAGACTATAAAAAGTTGAGAAAAATGAGAAAAGATGATTATAAAAAAAAAAAAAAAAAAAAGAAAAACTAAGAAAAGATAATAAATGAAACTTTTTAATAATAAAATTTATTATATTTCAATATACTAACATATCAGAAATTAATAAGATAACAAAACATAATGATATTAACAGGTGTCAATATTTAAATATTTATAAAAAACATTATAAAATAATAGAATTATTTACCTGATCAGCAACACTACGTGGTAACAATTGATGCAATAAATCTTCAACTTTTTGCTTCTCAGCAAGATATTCTTGTGTTCGTTCTTCTACTAAACCTTCCAAATTATTTGCATATTGTTCCATACGTTTTAATAAATTATCCACAACATTAGATGTTTCGTTACTTCTAAATTAGAAAAGAATAAAAAAACAAATCATAAACATCAATGGATAAATTTAATAATGTGATAAAATCATTTTAAAAGAAACAAATGAATGAATAGCATTAAAATGTCAAAAATTTGAAAAAAACTGAATCCTTCTGTTCAATTTTTTCAAAAATAATCAAGTTAGTTTTTTCTGAAATAAAAAGAGCAAAAATTTCAATAAATTATTTAACACCAAAATAGTTTAATAATCATAAGCCAAATATAGTAATGAGGAAATTTTTTTTTAACAAACATAGAGTGATTAACATAGATTTTAAACTGGCATTTTAAATGGAAATTAGATAAACAAAAACAAAAACAAAAAAAAAAAAATAGACGAACTTATTCAATGATCGAACTACTTTTCGAATAACAGCAAAATCAGGACGTTCGTGAAATTCTTCAGCCCAGCAACTGACCATCAAATTAATCAGGTTTGGCTCAATTTGACCATCAATTAAGGCACTTTCTGGTATTTCTGGCCTATACAATTCCTCATCAAATGCTGGTACTCTTTGTACACGTTCACAAATTTCTATAATACAATTTAATTTGATTTTATCTTTTATTTTTATTTGATGTAACCTAGTAGAACAAAAAAAATCACAAATATATACATAAAATATTCAAAATATAAATGCTGATTGATCACTTTTAATAAATTAAAATTAAAATATTAGCTAGCTATACCTTTTGGTGATGGTTCATCACTCATATAGAAGGCACCTTTACGGAATAACATTTCATGTAATATTATAGCAAAACTATATGCATCACCCGTTTTTGTACCATTTGCTCGATATGCATTCGGATTCCGTAATATTTCTGGTGCTGTCCATAATTTCCCTTAAAAAAAAAAGAAAGAGAAATAAATATATAAGTTTCAAAAGAAGCATTAAAATATAATAATCATTAATATATTTAAAAAAAAAAAAAAAAATAAGTATTACTTTTGTAAAAAGCATGTTCACCAATTTCATCGGTACTTTCATCTTCCATAGCATGCAATTCATGAAAACCAAAATCGGTAACTTTGAGCACAAATCGACTATCCACAACACAATTCGATGATTTCAATTTACCATGAGAACCAACAAATGTATTATGCAAAAAATACATACCCTTTAAATAATTATTTTCTCATTTTATTGATGTTAAAATTTAATTTACAATTCAATTATATCTTAAAAGTTTGTCATAATTTAATTAGCATATATAAAATAAGAAATTGTAACCATATTGCTTATATATTAATAATTTATTATCATTATTATTCTTAAATAAAATATTAGCAAATTAAAAAAAATTTTGAAGAATGAAAATAACAAAAAATCTAACCTTAACTAAATCATGCAATAATGAATACTTCATCATTTTGTCTAATTCAATTTTTTCATTTTCTAAAATATCTTCCAGAGATCCTTTGGGACAATACTCTTGCACCAGACAATAATGTGGACAATCAACACAGGCTCCAGTAAATCTGAAAAATTTTTCATAAAATCAATCGAATAAAATTTCCTAACTTCTCATAGCTATTCTCATTAATTAATATAATATGTAGGATAAATTGAAGGAAGAAATTAATTTTGTTGGACAAAAAAGAAAAAAAAAAGATCCAAATTTAAATAGAATAACTTCAAGTCCAAAACACAAAAAAAAAAAAAAATAATAGAATTAAAAAAAAAAAAAAAAAAATATAATAAACAAGTAAAGAAAAAAACAACAATTCAATACCAAGCAAAACAAAAATTAGATAATTATATTTAAAAACAAAATACAAAAAACAAAAAAAAAAAAAAAAAAAAATAAAAATACCTAAAGAATAAACCTTTTGATTAAGAGTCAAAAATTCTAAATTTAAAATAATCCTTTAAATACGGTAAACCTCGAAAATATGAATCTCACAGACTTAAAATTATCCTACTAATAGAATAACTTCAAAATATGTTGTTTTTTTTTTTTTTTTTTCAATTAGATTTATTATAATAGAAAATATAACCTAGTAATATGATCGTGCTGTAAATCTTTGATTCGTTTAAATTCCATTAACATAGAACGAGTTAAATCTAACTTCGGATATTTCTTTGGATCAATATTCAAATTTTTAACAGCAACTATTGTACCCTAAAATGAGAAATGAAAATTTATGAATAAAAGAAATATATGAAACAACAAATATTCCTCTTTATTATACAAAGAAAAATTGGAAAAAAAGTTTTTTTTTTTTAAAAAAAAAAAGATTGAAATCAGATTAAAGTAGCAATTTTTCACAATCCTAAACACTTATTCAATTTTATCAAATAACTTAACTAACCTTATAATTAGCAGTTTTTGTATAAATTTGTACATTATTTTGCATTTGTATTGTTTCCACCGAACCTCCACTCTAAAAAAAAAAAAAAAAAAAAACAAATCTTTTTTGCATTTTTCAAATAAAAATTTCATAAAAAAAAAAAAAAAAAAAAAAAAAAACCATGAAGAAGGTTAATTTAAAATTTATTTTAAAATATTTATATTTATTTATACAGTTATAATATCGTATTAAAATCCACCTATTAAATTTGTATGAAAAATAAAGAATACCCCAATGCTAAGTCCAGCAAATGATAATTTCCGGTTACGTAACGAAAGACTTTTTTTGGCGTGTACATCGAAATCATCTTCACCGGGTGATTTTCGTTTCGGATTAGAAATTGAAGAAAGTGGTGATGGTATTTCGCCACCCTCTGCCGGATCATAATCTTTCGGTTCGATACCTTCACTGATCGTTGCATATTGTCCAGAACGTGATATTGCATCCATTTTATGATCAAAATCCTAATAATAAAATAAAAAATATATATTCTTGACAATAATTTTAAATTTAGAATTTCAGGTGATAAAATTCATAGTTATTCCGGAATAATATTACAGAATTTCAGAAGATAAAATTCATAGTTGTTCCGGAATAATATTACAGAATTTCAGGTGATAAAATTCATAGTTATTCCGGAATAATATTACTTGTTATTAGTTCGTTTTATCAGTAATTCATAACATTTCAAAAATAATGCAAATAAATTAATCATACCTTGCTGATATGATTTTGAACCATATGCGTTGAATCTTGATGATTTGAATTCTTCTTTCGAGTAAACATACTTAATTTCCGATCAATCAAAGCCGAAAATTTGCGAGTTGCATTAGAACTGGTACTCCGCTATAAAATTATAATAAAATAATTTCTAAATCTTTCAGTTATAAATTTAATTTGCATATTTCTAAGAATGTAAAAGTTGTGCAAAGGAACGATTTAATAGAATCCATCAAATTTAATCACATTTTAGTCAATCACTATGCAAATTTCAATTTTTAATTTTAAATTATAGCAAAAAAAAAAAAAATCATCGATTTGCTTGAAAATTTTTGATTTTATCATTAATTTTAATGTTAGTTGTTAATACATGCATACTTGTTATACATGCTTTTGTTAGAATTGTTAATTAATTTAAATGTTAATATTATAAGCTTTTAGCTGTTAGTAATATGAAAATTAATATATTAGTAATATTTAAAGTAATATGAATAAGATAACATCAACAATCATACAATTATACAAATTATTAAGAAAAGAATAACTTAATTATAATTATAATAAATTCATTTTTACAATCAATGACAGTGTGTAATAAAGTCAAGATTTTAATATTACAAATGTAAAAAAGATGAAATCTTTTTAAATAAAATAAATTCATACTAATTCTAAATCTTCCATTTTCTTTTTATTTCGCATATACGAAATAATATGATATAATTTATACCAAAAAAAAAAAGAATCAATTAATTAATGAGATTAGAAGAGATCTCGAGAAAAAAAATCAATTAATTAATGAAATTAGAAGAGATCTCAAGTAAAAAAAAATAATTAATTAAAGAGATTAGAAGAGATCTCGAGGAAAAAAATCAATTAATTAATGAAATTAGAAGAGATCTCAAGTAAAAAAAAATAATTAATTAAAGAGATTAGAAGAGATCTCGAGGAAAAAAATCAATTAATTAATGAAATTAGAAGAGATCTCAAGTAAAAAAAAAATAATTAATTAAAGAGATTAGAAGAGATCTCGAGGAAAAAAATCAATTAATTAATGAAATTAGAAGAGATCTCGAGAAAAAAAAAAAAAAAAAAGGAAGACAGGATGAAGAAAGAAATAAAATTGATAATAAATAAGAAATATGTGCAAACATGCATTATTAAAATGAAATATATAATAAAGATTAAATTTAGGAAGTGCTTAAAAAAAAAAAAAAAACATCATTAAACTGAAATTTACAATTTCAAAATTACAATATTCAAAGGTTAGCAAACTAACCCATACTGCTTTACCACTGGATATTGGCGACACTTCCTAAAATTAATTATCAAATGTTTGATTGTTTATACTATCACACTTATCGTGTAAACAATTTCAGACAAAACTTTACTATTTGTAATAATTTTTTTACATTTTTGAAAGAAAATATTTAAAAAAAAAAAAAACAATCATAATCATATCAATCAAAGATAATAAATATCAATTTTCTAACATTAAAATTTATGTAAAAATGAAATTTAAATAAACTTATATGCATGCATAGCTCTAAAATAAAATTTCGATAGAAATAGAAGAACGAATTATTCTTATTCCTAAAATTTCAAAATGTTAGCATAATTAGAATTTAAATGAAAATAATGAATTGGCAACAATTAAAAGATGCAAATCTATATATCATGCTGCAAAAATTTAAAATAGAATTTATCAATCAACAATCCAAGAAAGCAATTTTATTCTGTCACAATTTAATTTCAGCTTAAAAAAATTATAAATATTCGTCACTTTTTGTGTGTGTGAGAGTGTGTGATAAAGTAATTTATTATTATGTTAAGAAATGCTAATTAGGCTAAGAAATAATAAATTAAAAGATAAGTTCATAAATTTAAAAGAAATTTTTTTCATCAATGTTAGATGAGTATATTTCAAATTTTATTAGTTGGATTAGTAATGATAGTAGCATAGCATCATTCCATCTACATTTTTTGTTTATTTATTTGTTTATTTATTTTCTTCTCTCCTCTTGCATTTAAGCTGCTTTTCCGATGCTAAAACTTAAATTAGCTAATTGAAAAAATATAAATAACTACAGTTTTTGTTTTTTCTTTTTGTCTTTAAAATGCATAAAAAGCTAATTTAAGCCATGCATTTAAGCCAAAAATTTATAAATTTTCACTTCAATCCATGCAAAATTTGATACACTTTAAAAATTTTAATCTAATAAAAAATAAATTTGCATATTTTATACACTATGAGACAAAAAATTTCAAAAAAAATTTTTTTACATTATTTACATAAAAATATTTCTGTTTAATTTTTGAAATTCACCAATATATTTAATATTTCTTCTATTAAAATAACATTTATATATTTATTGTGGAAGGAATTTGAAGTTAAAATTTATAGCAAAATTTAATAGCAAGGAGAGAGAGAGAGGGAGAGGGAGAGAGGGAGAGAGAGGGAAAAGCATTAAGAATTAAAATAACTTCAATTTAGTCGTCAGCCATGTCGTCACCCAGGATATTTTATCAAAAATTTAAATTAATTTTTATTCTAACTTAAAAAAAAAAAAAAAGCGTAAGTGAAAATGAAATAAATAAGGAAGAATAATTTTATATGGGAAGTAATATAGTATATTTAATTGGATAGTTAACATACCAATCTAAAGCGACCAATGCTGAATTCTCGTTCGTCCTCATCCAACTGCAGAAATTCAATGAATTGATGCAAAAATTTTTTGACAAATTTAAATTTCCAAAAAAAAAAAAAAAAAAAAAAACAAAAACCTATTTACTTCGATAGTAGTAATTATTATGATAGTAGATTAACCCAAAATTCTATATTTAGCATATTAATACTAACATTCCTTCTTACTCTTAACTCTACTCCCTTCCCCCCAAAAAAAAAATAAAAAAAAGAAAATTATTACAAAAATCTTTCAGAAAGATAAAATAATTGGAAAAAATTTATAAAACTTATTTAAAATAAAAAAAAATAAATAAATAAATAACCACTAATAATTGCTATTTATTTACTAACAGTTTTTATGAAGATTTTATCGTTTTCTAATAGAAATGAAATTATAATTTCAACATTTTTTTTTTTTTTTTGTTCTCAAACTTTCATCTAAATCATTCATAGAATTTTAATTTAAGAAAGAACATTACATTTTCTTTCGATGCATAATTTTAGTAAAACTTTATTAGCTTTTTTCACTTTTTTTTTTTTGAAATTAAAAGGTAAATTTTTAAATTCCTCATTAACTTCTATAAAATATAATTAAAGCATTCAAATTGAATCTAAACTATAATTCCAATATTTAATATTCAGAAAAAAAAAAGGAAAAAAAAGAGAAAGAGTGAGAGAGAGAGAGGGAGAGAGAGAGAGAGAAAGAAATGTAAATTAAATTATAATAATAAAAGTATTGAAATTATAACATTAACATATTATACCTTTACTCATTGATTATTTCTTGAAATTTTTTATAAAAATAGTAAAAGTAAGACTTATCTTAATGTAATAATTTTTAATACAAATTATAAACAAACTCTTTCAGAATTTGATATATTCAATTTAAACATATACATATTTTATTACAATATCAAAAATTATGAATTCATCCAAATAATTTATTATAACTTACTATTTTTTTTTGAAAGTCAAAAAAAAAAAAAATATTTAAAAAAATTATTAATTATTTCTTTTATTTAAAATTATTAATTATCATTATATGTTAATTTTTTGTCCAACAATAATTGTATATAATTATGTATTAATGAATTTTACTATTAATTATGATTAAAAATCAAAAATTTTTAGAGAAAATTTGAATAGAAAAACAAAAAAAAAAAAAAAAAATTTTTTTAAAAAAAAAAGAAATAAAAAAAATTCAAACATTTTCACTGCCATTTGATGTACGACTATAAGATCGAAGTAATGCTTCAGATTCAAAACTAAAACCATGTAATCGTCGTACTCGTCTACTCTTCTTTTTATCTTTTTTTAATTCATCACCATCTAAATCCTCCCAACGAATCTTCCATGACATTGCAGCTAATTCAGCTTCCAAACGATATCTTCTAAAATTTAGCAAAATGATTTAAGTTAGATAATAATATGATAAAAAAAAAATTGATAATTAATAATAAATTAAAATTGAATATCAAAAATGCATTTACTGTTTAATTTAACCAATTATCATTATTTAACATTAAAAAATATATATATGATTAGCTCATTTTAAATTTAAAAAAAGTTGTTGTTAGCAAATAATATAAATTAGATAATAATAATATGACAAAAAAATTGATAATTAATAATAAATTAAAATTGAATATCAAAAATGCATTTACTGTTTAATTTAACCAATTATCATTATTTAACATTAAAAAAATATATATATGATTAGCTCATTTTAAATTTAAAAAAGTTATTGTTTCTTAACAAATCTAAAGCAATGCAAAGTTTTCAAAAAAAAAAATGAAATTATCAATTAAAGAGGTATTTTATGAATTTAAAGAATGTTTATAGTTAAAATTACATACCATAAAAATTCAAAAAAAAAAAAAAACTTTAGTCTTGTTGTTGTTGTTTTTTTTTTTTTTTTGTTGTTGAAAATGTTTACAAACTTTCTCAATTAAAATTGTAGAAAAAAAAAAAAAATTAAACTAACCTCCAAAAATAGATGAAACCAGACATGAGAATTAAGATGAAAATAGTTGAACCACTGAGCAGATATACATAAAATGGATAACCTTCAGGACATTTTGAATGATCCCAACCACATATTGGTGAATCTTTTGGTGGCCTACCACCAACCCAATGAAATTCTGTCACCTGTTTTAATTCATTTGATGCACCTGAATAATATGCCACCTCCTAAAAGTATAAACATTATTCTTTTCTATTATTTTAAACAATTAATCTTTTTCGAAAAACAATCGATAAAACTAACTGAAATTATCAATGTAAGAGTTAAATTTGATTTTTTGAAAAATTTTGAAAAAAAAAAAAAAAAGATTAAAAAAGACTAACAACAAATTTATCTTGTTGTGGATCCAGATCAAGTAATGAATAATCCGAATAACGATCACCATTCTCATCTATTGAAACATTACCTGTAATACCTGAAAAAAAAAAATCAAATATTAATTAATATATTAAATATTAAACAATAATTAAATAATTTGATAAATAATTATACACCTGGAATGATTTGACAAAAAAATTTTCATAATTAGAATTGTTGAAAAAGAAAAAAAAAAAACTACAAACAAATTTTCTCGATTTTTTAATGATAATTTATCAAAATCAGAATGTAACATAAAAATATTCAATGTATTATTTTACATATGGAAAATTAATTTTTTATTGTAATTCTATTAAAGTACATTCTAAGTTTATAATAATTACATTATCAATTATGTGCTATTGTCTTTTAATTTATGATTGAAATAAAAAATTTAGCTAATTTCAAATTAAAATGAAGTATTTTAAAAATGTGATATAAAACATGGGATTTTCTTAATTTATTTATTTTTATTTATTTATTTATTTATTTTTTTTTTTTTTGTGAAATCAATAATAAAACATAGGGCTTTCTTAATAGATAGGAAATTTGTTGAAAATGTAGATAAAATTTTCAGTTAAAATTACTAATGAATATTTATCATCTACTTTCCAAAGTAATTTATCGCTATCAGAATTGACCAGAAATTTCTTTTTTCCTTTTTCCTTTTTCTTTTTTTTTTAAAAACTTATGTTTGTTGCTGCTCCTTTTATTTATTTGTTTATTTTTTTATGAAATCAATAACAGATTTAGAAGTCTTTCTTAGTCTAGAAAACTAATAAACAATTTTGTTTTTTGTTTTTTTTTTTTTATTAATTGATGAATTATTGTTAAAGGTATTAAAGAAGAGAATAACAGAAGTAATTATTGTTAAATTAATTTTTATCACTAAGGAATTTTTGTAGAAAATAATATTAATTCAAATAAGTAATCAAAAAAAAAAAAAAATATTAGTAATACTTTATCGATTTAATAAAAAGATCAAATTTTCTAAACTTCTTACAAATATGCACAAATTGTAAACAAAAAAAAAAAAAAAAAGTCTTAAGTATTTATAAAATTCTCTCATAAAATACATTTCCCAAAAACAGAGAGAGAGAGAGAGAGAGGAAGGGAGAAATTTTAAAGTTTAAATTTACTTACCAACAAAAGTTCGACTCCACATTTTACTTGTTATATTATATCCATTGCGTGGATCCAAACCTTCACTGAGTGTTTCATTTAATGCTATTGCATAAAGCAAAAGTGCATCATAAAATGCACTAATAAAATTATTCATCTATAAAAAAAAAAAAACATTAAAATAAATGAAGTAAATATTTTAAAAATTAATAAAAATGTGTAAATTTTTATGTCAGCAAATTTTGATATAATAAAAATCATTTTAATATAGTAAAAAATTGCTTTAATATAGTAAAAAATTACTTTAATATAGTAAAAATTACTTTTAATGTAGTAAAAAATTACTTTAATATAAGTAAGAAATTACTTTAATATAGTGAGAAATTACTTTAATATAGTAAAAAATTACTTCAATATAGTAAAAAAATTACTTTAATATAGTAAAAAATCATTTTAATATAGTAAAAATTACTTTTAATGTAGTAAAAAATTGCTTTAATATAGTAAAAAATTACTTTTAATATAGTAAAAATTACTTTTAATGTAGTAAAAAATTACTTTAATATAGTAAGAAATTACTTTAATATAGTAAAAAATTACTTTAATATAGTAAAAAACCATTCTAATATAGTAAAAAATCATTTTAATATAGTAAAAAATTACTTTAATATAGTAAGAAATTACTTTAATATAGTAAAAAACCATTTTAATATAATAAATTTTTCAAAATGAATAAAAATGAGAGAAAAAAAAAAAAAAAAAAAAAAGAAAAAATCGACATTTATAGAAATTATTTATTTTAGAGAAAGTTAAATTAAATTTCTTACCAAATTAATTTCATTTAATTACTAAAATATTTAAGTAATAATAATAATTATTATTATTATTTACCTCATATTCTTTACCCGTTTTAGCCGAATAATTGTATCTTTTTTCGGCACGTTCTTTTACACGTGATTCAAAATCTTTATATTCATCTAAATCACTACGTCTTAATGAAATTGTTTTTAATGCTTGATATGCTTTTTTTGCTTTTTCATTTTCCATCGATGTTGTTGTATCATTTGATCGTAGCCATGGACGTTCTGCATGTGATCTATAAAATAATAAATTTTATTTCAAAAAAAAAAAAAAAATAAATAATTATTCAAAAAATATTTACTAAAATTTACTTAAATCTATAATTCAAATTTTTTAAAAAAAAAAAAATAAAAATAAAAATTTACCCAGTAGAAACATCAATATTGATGAAAACATATTCACCGGATGTTGCCATACCTAAATCATATGCAGCAAGCATAATTTCTCGAACAGTATTTGGTGAAGCACATAATATTATCACTGAAAAATAAATAAAGTAAAAATAAAAATTATATTTTAAAATAGCAAAAAAAAAAATTGAAAATTGTTAAATTCTTTTATTTACTTTTCTTTTTTTTTTTGATACAGTTAGCTTCAAAATTTGTTTGTTATTTTCATATTGCTTTATTATTTACAACTATTTTATAATAATTAGAAAAGAAAATGAAGTAATGAATAGAAAAAAAATTGATAAAACAAAATGAATGAACTGATAATAAATTAACATTTAAAATAATCATTATGTATGAGAAAATGTAGCTAATGATCAAGTAATTCTCATCCTTTTATTTATTTATCAGTTTTGCTTGCTTTTCATTTATTTTAAAGAATTTAAAAATGTTCAAACTTTATTCATTTGTCTAATCAATATCACATAAATTCAATTATTAAAATTTTATATTGAAAAATTTTCACATCAAAAAATAAGTATGTAAGAAACAAAGTTAAAAATTAAAGTAAAATTTACACAAACTATTGACAATTTTGTTAGAAATTTTTTTTTTTTTTTATATTCAAAATGCTTTTATTTTAAAAATTGAATCCTTTAGCTAAAACATTGTTTTAAATATTTGTAAAAAAAAAAAAAGAAATTAAATTTTTATTGGTACTTTATTTTATTATACTTTTAATTCTTATGGTACTTTTTTAATAGATTATAGTAAATACTAACGCTAAGGATACTACAATTTCAGGTTATAAATTTTAAAAATTAAAATTTATAACCATAAATGTATTAAAAATTACATTTAATTTATGTCTAATATTATAATCAATGTTACAATTTGTTATTTTACAACCTAATCTTATCTTTCATATTTATATAAAATTTTCGATCACAGTTGATAACTTTAAAAGTTGATAATTTAGTGATTAATGATTAGTGATTAGATGATATGAAATACTTATTATCAACAATATCAAAGATAATATTAAATCGGGAAATATCTGAAGAATATCTGAGATAGTTTCTTTTATTTGCTAATAGCTAATAAAGCTAAAAAAATATTAACAAATTAGCTTATTTAAAAAGTTTATATTTGAATATAGACAAAGCTAATAAATTTCTATTTTAACAATGAAAAGAGAATGTAAAAAAAAAAAAAAATTAAAATTAAAATTGAGATAAAGAATAATTTAATATTTTATTAAATTTAACTTTTTGCAGAAAAAGAAATTAATTATTCCATTTTTTTTTTATCTGAAAATAAAAACACTATTAATTAGTATTAATCAATAAAATCAAAAAAAAAAAAAAAAAAAGAAATTGTTTTTCTTTGCTTATCTTTTTTGATAAAAAAAATAAATAAATAAACAAACAAACAAACTATTCAGGAATTTAGTTTTTTTTTTTTTTTTTTTTTTGGAAGAAAAGAAAATTAAAAAGAAATAAATAAAAGCTAAAGTTGAGATGAATCATTAAAATGATAATAGTAGTAGCAAATATGATAAACAACGATAATATTTAGTACGTCGAGAATGAATGCTATTTTGTAAACAAAATTATTATTCATACAAATATTTTTGTATGAATAATAATTTAATATATAGAAATAATTTTTATCAAAAAAAAAAAAAAAAAAAAAAACTATACAAATATCTGAATTAAGCTTAAAATTTTTGAAATTAAAAAAAAAAGAGAGAAATTTGTAGAAATAAACAAATTTCTAACAATAATTCAAAAAAATCAAAATAAAACTTGCAGTAATAATTAACGAAAAAAAAATGAAAATGACAATTTTAAATTTAATTTAAGCTAATTTTGATTTAAATTAATGATTACTTCATTTGTAAAATTATTAGAAATGAAATAAACAAATCTAATAACTACAAATAAAGAATGCAAAAAAAAAAAAAGTATGAATTCAAAAATAATTAAATATTTTTCATTTTCAAGAAATATTAGAAAGGATTAGAAGAAATCAAAAATTAGAAATAAACAAAAATTTGAGCAGAAGAAAAAATCCATTTGTAAACAAATATATTGTAAACAAAATAACTTCATAGTTTACAAGACTGATATATATTTTTTTTTTTAGAAAATTCAATCTTTTTTTCAAAAGATAACAATCATCGATTATCGATCAAAGTAAAATCATTTTTCTTGATCTTTAATTGTTCAGTTAATATCTTCTAAACAACTTTTTAAAGTCATTTTTCAATTTAATCAAATTATGGAAGTTAAACCTTCTATGAAATATCACATTTCAAATCTGTAAAATTACTGAATTATAAATGATAGCATATGTATTCGAAAAGAAATTAAAAAAAAAAAAAAATCTTACTTAAAATTTGTATAGTATTTTATATCAAAAATTTATTTTTCAAAAAAAAAAAAAGAAAAAGAGAAAAAATCAAAATCGAAATTGGAATTTTAATAAAAATATTAAAATTTTAAATAAAAATATTAAAATTAAAATTTACGAAGTCTATATTATATTAAAATTATTTATTATTTATTAATAAAATTATTATATTAAAATTTTAAATAAAAATATTAAAATTAAAATTTATAAAGTCTATATAAAACTCAAAAATGAAATAGGCATTAGGGAATTAGAATTTTAGGGAAATTCCAAAAAAAAAAAAAATATTCAAATTGTAACTTAAGAAAACATTCTTAATGCATCACATAAATTATAGATGTTTACTAGTTGCATTTATTTGATCAAAAACAAATTATTTTAGATAGAAAATTCATTTTTTTTTTTTTTATACAAATTATTTTAGATAGAAAAATTCATTTTTTAAAAAATAACAAATATGAATGAATTTTTGAAGCGTAAAAAAAAGAAAAGTAATTAGTTTTAGTTTCCATTAAATTTCCTTTTTTTTTTTTTTCCAGATGTTTTGCTTAGTAGTGAAAATATAATAAATATTACAAATATTAGTCATTTATTTTTTTTTTTTTTTAGAAAAATTAAAAAAAAAAAAAATTTCAAAATTCATTTCTATATCTAATGAAAGAGAATTCATAATGCAATTCAATTTTTACATTTATTTTCAACCTAAAATTTAATACTTAATTATAATTCAATCTAATTTTACTTAATTAATATTAATTTGATAATTTTTTCTTTTTGCAAATGCTTTTTTAAAGTTAATCATTTCTCATTAATCTATCACTTTTTGCTTAAATTATTTATTCATTTCTTTTTTTCAAAATAATTTCAAATGTTATTTGAAGGAATTGCTTAAAAAAAAAAAGAAAGATTTTAATTTATTAGCAAAGCTATTGTAAAAAATAACTTGCATATTTATTTATTTTTTTTTTTTTGCCAATTTTAGCATTGTAGGAAATAAATCAAAAGGAAAATAAATAATTAAACAAAAAAAAAAAAAACCAACTAAATGTGATGTATTAAATTCTTTAATCTAAAATATCTAATTTGAAAAATTTCCAAAAATAATTTCAAATTTTATTTGAAAGAAAAAAAAAATTACCATAATTAATCTCTCACATTCATTCCAAAATGCATTTTTTCATTTTTTTTTTAACACATTTTACCAAAAATTATTTCTTTTTTTTTTAAAAATTCCATTATGAATATCTATAATTCTAATTCCATCAACAAAAATGATTTTAAATTTAAAAAAAAAAATTACAAATTTTAAAAATTGAACTTATCGACGAACTTTTAGAGTTGTTCCGCCATCTCAAGTATGAAATAATACAATAAACTTTTTTTTTTTTTAAAAAAGTTTGATAGAAAAGTATGCAAAATGAATTTTGAAAATATATTCTTCCTCTAATATCTCTTAAAAGTTTTCAAAAACTTTTCTTGTTTTCACAAAAATTTTAAGCGTACTTTTTTATTTTTTAGAAAAAATTTCATTAACATAATGAAATAAGAAAATCAATAATTTGTAAACATTGATAGAAAGTAAATTGATTACATTTCACTAAACTATTTTACACATTTTCAGGAAGTTTATCTTTAGAAGAATTAAATTTAAATTTTTCTGTTTAACATTGTAATTAACATAAGAAGTATCAAATTTAAAATTAAAATTTTAAAATGCTCAAAATTAGAATTGATAAATAAAAATCATTACCTATTACATTACGATTACCTATTATTTTCAGTAAATAATTACCTATTATTTTTTCACTAAATGAATGCTAAATACTTATTTCATTTTCAATGTATCAAAAAAAAAAATACTATAAACTATTTTTAAAATTAAACAATTAAGAAACAAAAAGAAAATTTCACTAAGTTTATAAGATTACCACTGAGAATGATGAATTATAAACAAGTAATTAGTTATATCGTTGAATATCAAATTCTTGGAAGTAGTTTGATTCAACTTTTCGGCACAGGTTATTTGATCTCTTTAATCTTATACTATGGCAAATTTAAGATTTAAAATGATCAAATAACGTACGTGAAAAATATGTTAGTTATATTTGAATGATTTTTAAAGTAAAATGGAATATTTTATTTTTGCATTTATAAAACTTTTCGAAATAATAGATTAAGAATTATAAAAAAAAAAAATGATAATTAGATTGAAAATTTAACAAAAAAAAAAACTCACATTTCTTATTATTATTATTTTTCAAATCACATTTTTTGATAAAAATAAAATATTCTATTTTAATGTGTCGAAAAATGAGTGAAAAAAAAAAAAAGAAAAGAATTATTGAAATTTGATAGTAATTTATTTTATGATAAGCAATTCTTATCAGTTTAATTACTATCATTCGTTTATATGCAAATTTAAAAATATTTCTTTTTTTTTGTGTTAATATTATAACATTTAAAAAAAAAAAAATAAAAAATAAAAATCAAACAGACAGTTGAGAGAGAGAGAGAGAGAGAAAAACCCCAGAATTATAAGTTAGAAAAATTTTTCGATAGTGAATTTGAATCTATGATAAGAGAGATAATAAATTAAAAGGAAATTTAAAGAGGGATTTACATTCATTTTAGCACAAATGATAAAACATACATTTTCTTTTCTTTCCTTTCTCTCTCTCTCTTTTTTTTTTTTTTCTAAAAGAGAAATGATATTCAATTAATCAATTTTTTTTGTGAAGAAAAATTTTGATAAACAAAAAATAAGGAAATGAGGAAAATATTTTTTAAAGCAAAGATAATATTAATAAATTATTCATCTAAAAAAAGTAAAATTGAACTCAATTCAGCAAATTAAGTTATCTTGTTTTTTTTTTTTTTTTTGTTTTGTTTTGTTTTTTATTCTATAAAAATTGATGTAAAGAATCTTTACTCTTTGAAATTTTCCTGGGGAAAAAAAAGTGAAGGAAAGGAAGGAAGGATATTTTGAATAATTAATTTACACATATTCAAATCGAATAATTAATTAATAAACATTCAATGAAAAATAATGTATATATGTATGTGTATGTGTAATGACTGATAAGTGAAAAAAAAAAAAAAAATTTTTTTTTCTAAAATCTAAAAGATTTTAAAATTTGTCAATCAAAGTGTTTAGGATTATTCTATTGCTATGTGATATAATAATGCAGCAAAAAGTTGAAATCATTTCCTATTTTCTATTCTTTCATCCATCTCTTTCTTCAACGAAAAGAAAAGCAAAAGAAATTATAAACAACAATGTAATTTGTAACAAAATAAACATAAATTCAAATTCTAAATTATTTTTGTGATAATTTAAAGTTGCAGCAAAAAGTTTTTGTTTTATTTATTTTATAGTGTGAATTGTAGTATTATAATGATAATTAATTTATAGGAATTATTCTTAATTAATGCTAGACAAACATTCATTATGCTTATGCTTACATCTCGAGAAACTCAACTCACAAAGACAAAAAAATGTTTCAAATTTGAATTCAAAATGAAAAATGAAAAAAAAAAAAAATTTTTTTTAAAGTACTAACTTTTTTGTGTTACATTTCAAATGATAAATGAACAAAATATACTTCTTCATACTTCAATAATTAACATTAGATTAAAAAAGAAAAGCAGAAAAAACAGAAAAAAAAAAAACAAACAAACAAACGTCGTTTGTCACCACAAAAAATTCTTACACTCTAATGAAATATTATTCAAAAAAAAAAATAAAAACGAAAAGAAATTGAAAGAAAGAGAACGAATATTTCCACTGATAATAGTATTGATAAAAATTAATGAAAGTAAAAAAAAAAAAAAAAAAATAATAAAGGATAAAAAATTTAATTTTAAATTACCGAAATAATATTCAGAAATCTAAAATACTATATACATATTTATTTTATGGTATGAAAATCAATCATAAATGTGAAATAATAATGAAATGATAGAATTTAAAATTAAATTTAATCAAAATAAAAGAGTGACAAAAACGCACCATTTGCAAGTTCGGAAACAATTTTCAGCCAACTTTCAATTTCACCTGGAATTCGTGCAATTTCTTCATCAAAAGCTAATGATGGAGTTTGAATTTTCCATGCTTCCTTGAAATAAGCACTTTTTTCGGTGAAAAAATTTTTGATAGCATAGAGTGTAAAATAACAATGACTGGAGACACTTTCCACAACCATTACTTCACCATCAGCTAATCTTGGTCGATTTATAGCACGACGTTTATCATGATACATGAGTACAAGATTTTGATAACCTAATGATAAGCGTGATTCTGGAACTGGTAAACGATTTTGTATGCTGCTATGTAATCGAGAATTAGAATTTGAATTTGACGTAGATCTTCTGTTACTCTTATCTGATGATGATGATGATGATGATGATGATGATGGTGGTGGTGATGTTGCATCTTTTTCGAATTCTTCACGATATGCGATTAATTTGTACATACTATCAGCCATTTGTCGATAGCTACCTTGCATTCGAGTAAGAAATGGATATGTTTGCCGATCACCAAGATTTGATACCATTCCGGCGGTAGTAATTACCGGTACACCATTTCCAAATGCAGCGGTAATTTTTGATGTGGTTGCAAGACTATAGCTATCAGCAAAACCAAGAATTGCATCCAAACGATGTGAACAGTATGCTGTTACAACACCAAGTGTTGCAAAACGTTCCGCTAAATTTGCATTTTCTGAGAATTTCGAATCATGATAAGTGAAATTTAAAAAATCTGCACCTATCTTACCGGATCGAATTGCATCCATTACACTAATATCAATTACTGGTCGTGCTTTTGGCATAGTAATTCCAAAATTATCATTGTTTGATTCACTTTCAGGTAACACGACAAGAATATTAAATGGTAAACGATGACCATTTATTGCGGAACGTTTGGGATTATTTATTGCGGAATCAGTGGGATTGTTTATTGCGGAACGACTAATTGTATCAGTAATAATTTGACCAAAAATTGCTTGTGCAAAATTATCAAATAAAATAATGCTTATAATGAATGAAATGATTGCAGTTTGTTTCTTCCTATGAAAGCAACCAAAATGAGACCAAAATTCGAGAATTGTTTTGATAACAATGATAGATGCCATTAGTGATAAACCAAAATCTATCATTTTCAAACATTCGATTAGTTATCAAGATAATAACAGTAATGATAACGCTGATGGTAATGATGATAACAATGATAATTGCGTCCTTTTGGCTAGTCATACAGTAGCACTGATAAAAATATTCTGGCCATATGGTAAAGCAATAGCAATAAACAGTTAGCTGATGATGATGACGATGACGATGATTAATGCAATTTTGATCAAAATCATTAATTCTCAGCAATATTCAAATAAATCCTTTAGAGAGGAGTTTAAAATGCAATAATAGCAATTTTGAGAATGGCTGATAGAGTAGCAATAATAGAGAGAATTTCCGTAATGATGTAAAATAAGCAATGATTAAAGCTGATTTCGTTGATAAGGCCATTAAAATTCCAGTAATGATAGCAATAAATATAGTTGTTATACATAACAACAACAACAATAACAATAAATACTGGAATAATAAACAATAAGAATAATAGTATTATGAATTACTTTTCTTTTCTTTTCTTTTCCTCTCCCTCTCTCTCTCTCTCTCTCTCTCTCTCTCTCCTTGTCTTTCTCCGATATAGCAAATATAATATATGGGAGCCTGAAAAATTACTAATAAATAATAATTTCATTCAATCATTTTCTATTTTAAATTACAAACATTAAAAGCAAAATGCTACTGCTACTACTACTACTGTAGGAAAATTAAATTCAACAATAACAAAAAAGAAAAATCTAATTAGAATTACTTACAATTTTGATAATATATCCAAGTGATAAGCATTTAATTATTATCATTTATCATTGATTTTATCAATTATTGTCATCTAGTGCTATTTGCTTCTATATTTTACGAACTTATAATGATTAAATAAAATTTTCAAAGAATTGGGAAATTATTTTGCATATTAAAACTTCAATGAGAACAATAAGAAAAAAAAAAAAAAAAAAAAAGCATTAAAATAAACTTCGTCTTATTATTGCTATAAGAAATGAAAACTTAAATACTACTTTCACGGATGAATTCATCGCGTAGTGTAACTTTTGATAATCATTGTACCTATAGCGACCATTATCATTCAGTGATAACAACAAGGAGTGACACAAAATGTGGTGACAAGGAGAGAAACACAAAAACGCCAATACTTTGCCAATACCGCCACATCCACCCACGTATATAGCTTGTCTTTCTCACCTACGTAACATACATATAGGCTATTTCACTCACACGCATACACACTTATCAACGACAACACAAACAGCAGAAGCGCTGTATGTGTATCGACAGCGTGCGCCCAGTCTGCTACTCATGCCATTGTTTTCACTATGTTTACATCCATGTATGTGAGTGTCTGTCAGTATATATGTGTGTGCGTATGTGTGTCTGTCGTCACTAGTACATAGTGTATGTGTGTGTGTGTGTGTGTGTGTGTATGTCCGACATGAACTATGCATTTGTCATAATAAAAGTTTGCAAGTAAACGTATATTTGTTGATAAGAACAATGATGATATTGAATGCTTATTAATTTACTTAAATACGTGAAGAATAATTATTACTTACGTATGTTACGTGTATTTTACACGTAACTCTTTGCTTTATATAATGATAAAATAGGAATTGGTGAGGAAAGAAGCGATAAAGGAAGGAATGAAATATGATGGTGTTCAATTTAGTATCCGTCCATCCGTCTATGAGAGATACTGAATCGAAAGTGGGGCGGATAAAGTTGTCGTCCGCTTTATTATTAAAGCGAAGAAAAACGTCACACACACACATACATACATACACATACACACACATACATACACATATATACACAGATACACACACACACACACACACACCTACAGCTGTCTCTTTAGTCAATTCCTCACAGCATAGCATACTTTGTATTTAAATCCAAATTACGGATCCTGTTAGACGGAAAGAGAAAAGGAATAAGCTTTGACACTTCAGGCAGCACAATAATAATAATAATAATAGCATTGATAATAATGATAATGATAATAATAGCATTAATAATAATAATATTAGTAATAATAATAATAACAATAGTAATAATAATAATATATACATTTCTTTTCTTCTTTTTATCATTTTAGATTAACATTTCAAATTCTCAACAAAAGCATCACAGATTATAGAAATTGATAATTGGGAATATTTATCAGGTAGCTTATGATAATCATTATCTCACATCATTTTCATTCTTTCCATTCGATTTGAACAAACAAACAAAAAAAGAAGAAGAAAGAGAAACCTTATCAATTATCATAATCTAAGAATTCTCGATGGATTACGTCACGTGTTAGCGTCAAAATAATATCTCACACAATAAATATATTACATACAACAATTTGTGATAAGGAATGAATTGATGGGAATGCAAAGAAAAATCAAAAACTGTAGCTATTTGTTATATGTGTAAATAATACTACAAATTATTTATTTAAATTAAATTGTTATATTCATCTATCCAACATTTTGGTCATTTTATCATTGATATTTAAAAAAAAAAAGTTTATCATTTTATCAGTGATATCTAAAAAAAAAAAAACTAGAAAGTTGTCAAAGTGTACGTGAAATGAAGTAAAGAGGAGAATGGCTTCTAAAAACTTGTTAAAGATACTGAAAGATAGAAATTGTAAGAGACTATTAATTACAATTTCACGTACGTGTTCGTTACTCTTTCAATCATTCATAGTAAATAACAATTAATTCAGTATAATGATACGTTAAATATTTATCAGTTATTTTTATTACTAATGCTAAAAGAAAATTCCTAAAGGAGTTCAGATAATTTGTGATAAAATATTTGATCTCTTTTATCTTTTTTTGTCCTTTTTTTTTTTTTTTAATATAAAAATATGTACTGAAAAATAGAATACGAATATCTGAAATGATTTTTAGAGAAGTAAATAATTTTGTTTACAAAAAAATGGGATGATATTATTTAATGATAATTGATAGTATTTTAGTGATAACAATTATGTTAATATTTGTGGTAAAAGACGAATGAAATGAATGAAAAGAATAGCTTATGTAAGCCAAAGTATTCATGAATATTATAACAATAATAATAATAATAATAATGAATAACGATAATAACAATAAATAATAACACTAAAATACTACTAATAATAGTAATAACAATTATTATTATAATTATATAGTAATAATAAATAATTAATAAAATAACAGAAATAATTCTTTAAAAAAAAATTACAACGATTAATTAATTTGTTAATTTGATAATAATTTTTTTTTTAAATTAATAATTAAAGTTATAAATAATAATTACAAACAATTACAAAATAATAAATGATAATAAAAATATGATAAATAATTACAAACGATAGTAATAAGAAAGGTAAGATTGAAATAATAAATGATTTTTACAACGATAAAAACAATAAATTTCATTAACAATTAATTCATGTTGAAATGAAAAAAAAAAAAAAAGAAAATTTAAAAATTAAAAAAATAAAAAAAAGGAGAGAGAGAGAGAGAGAGAGAGATGAAGATGATGAAAAGGAAGCTCTGAAGTAGTTGAATAACTAAGAAACGAAATGAAAAAACGATGTTCAATTCAATCTATTGAAAATTTCTCCTCCCTGAAACAGCAAAATATATTTATATATATAAATATATTTTTGTTTATGTGCAAAAAAAAAAAAAAAAAAAAAAAAAACTTTTGCAATTTTTTTTTTTTTTTTTTGCCATCGAAAAGGTATACACAAAAAAGAAAGAAAGAAAAAAAAAAAACGAAAACGAAAAGATAAAAAATGAAATAGCATTTCGGAAGTAACAAGTACAAATAGCAAATTTGTTGACGTCACTTTAGAAGGTCACTTTTTCAAAAAAAAAAAAAACAAAAAGAAAAAAAAAAAAAACAAAAATTTTTTGAAGAATAAATATGATAGTTTTGTTGGACATTTGAGTTATTCGTGATACAAATCAATCTTACTTTTCTTTTTTTTTTTTTTTTTTCTCTTCAAAACGAGGAATTTATTTTAAATTTTAACCAAAATGAAAGGAAAAAAAAAAAAAGGAAATCTGTTCTGTTTTTTCTATTCTTCATACTTTTGCATTTTAATTATATTTCTATCATAACTAATAAAAATTTATTACTATCAAAAAAAAGAAAAAAGAAAATGTCATCATTTTTTTTTTTTTTTTTTTTGTAGAAAAAAAAGAGATAAAAATTAAAAATTTAAAAAGGAAAAAGAAGAAAAAGAAAGATGGAATGAAGAAGACATAGCGAATTTATTATTCATTTAAGCCGAATTTATTTATATTCGTGTGATAATTGCATAGAAATTTCTCGATCATAAATTTTAAGACTATTCATTTAATTATAAAAACAATAAATAATTATCATATCTGTCATATACAAAAATAAATGATAAATTTGCTAATCAAATAAGAAAACTATTGGTTTTTTTTTTTTTTTTTTTTAGCTATGCTATCAGAATTATTTTACCATACTAAATGATAAATTTAATTTAATTTAATAAGATTATCATTTAATCTTAATAAAATTATTAATTACCTAATAACGTTTTAATAACATTAATTACCTAATTAATAAAATCATTAATTATCTAATAACATTTTAATAACATTAATTACCTAATTAATAAAATCATTAATTACCTAATAACATTTTAATAACATTAATTACCTAATTAATAAAATCATTAATTACCTAATAACATTTTAATAACATTAATTACCTAATTAATATCTTACGAAAAAAGAAAAAGCAACAATATAAGCTACGGTATTAAATGATAAATATTAAATTAAAATAAGTTTATAACTCTGAAAAAAGAAAAAAATTCCCATTACTTGAATAAAATTGTTTTCAAGACAACTTTAACAACAACAACTGATCATAAATTATTTTAGAAATTCATTTTATGAGATAGACTTTCTGACATTTACTATTTGTAATCTTTGAGAGAATAATGAATTTGCTTAGGAAGTATGCATTCTTAGATCTTTGGTAAATTTTTTTTTTTTTA